TCGTGTCGTGGCAAAGATCAGGACGGTAGGTTTCTGGCAGTTTTCGGCCTCTAGGGACCCTCGCCGGGCCCTTTGTACCGTCTAACATCGATTCGGGATGAACAGCTGGCCCCAGGAGAAGGGTCGGGATTTCGGGGAGACACATGACATGCGCCACTCTACCCTACCCTACTCCACTTCACTCCGACGCTATTCTGCTCTAACTTACTCTCCTGATCTCTACTGTGCTAGACTCTGCTCTTCTCTGCTCTATTCTACCCTGTACTCTATTCTAGCCTACTCTACTCTACCACCTACCCTACTCCACTCTACTCTGCACTACTCTACTCTACTCTGCCCTACCCTGACATACCCTAACCTTATACTCTTCTCTGCGCCGCTCTACTCTACCCTACTCTATCTACGCTACTCTACTCTTCTTTTGATTTACTCTACTCATCTACTGTTCTCTGCCCTGCTCTACTCTTGTCTACTCTACTCTACTTTTCTACACTTCTGAGTTCGACGATCGTTGGACAATTGCTGGGACGCCATTCGAATAGCCACGGGGAGAGGAGTAAGCAATGCGGACAGGAAGAGGCCATGCTGATAGGAGGAAGCCATGCGGACAGGAAGAAACCATGCGGATGGGAGGACGCCATGCTGGTAGGAGGAAACCATGCGGATAAGAGGAAGCCGGCAAAGGAAGCCACGGGGATAGCATGAGGCCATACGAACATTTTCACAATGCAGGGCCAAAACGAGGGCGGGACCAGTGGACCAATTGTCTCCGCGTTGAGCCAGGACTCCTCTGGGAAACCTTGTTCTGAGAAACATCAGAACATTGCATGTCTGGGAGGGCACGTGGCGGGGGTCAGCGCCAGCGGAGGGCACGTGGCAGTTAGCGCTAGTCAGAAGATGACAATCTACCTATGCCGCTACCCTTCCCTCGTGGCCATGGCTAGATTCACCTCGAAGTCCTGTTCAGAACGCACCCCAAGAGAGGTCCGTGGAGTAGCGGCGTGGGTATATTTGTGTCTCCCTATCTAGCGGAGTTCAGCCAATCTTCACCGAAACTTTCTGGCTCGTCCTGGTTTGGGAGCCACACGGAGCCGACGCTTCCCTGTTTTGGAATTGCTACGATTCCAGCAGGGGTTCGCGATATGGCGTTGCCGCCGACGTGCGTTAGCGCGTCCCTGACAAAATGAAGGTATAGCAGATTCTTCTGGCCATGAATTTTCCTGTCCACTACCACTGCAACTGCAACTTCAAGAACAGCTACATGTAGTGTTGCTGATTTTGATTGCGATGTGCGGGCTAGGGTCCCTGCCGTAATGTGGGATCGCTACATGGTGTGCGATAATTACAGCCAGCCTGTACATGCCATCATCTCAGTCTTACGCCTTACCTACATTGCGTTATGGGAGTCGTGCGCTAGGCCTGTGCTGAAGGTGTGTAATCCTGGAGACGTTGGGTTAATGGAGCGTAGGGGGGCCGGTGATGCTAACGCGAACAGGGTGCCCCCCTTCTGGGAGATCGATCTCGGTCTCGGTTCTTGCCGTGCGTGCGCGGGCAGGCAGGCCCTAGGATAAAGATACATCGCTCCCGAGCGTGCCGGAACTTTCTCAGGGCGTGTCGGAGCGCTCTGAAACGGCCGGGGCGCCCCAGACCATCCTCCAGACCCGCCAGGCCTGAGAGATTCCCGACGTCTCTCGGGCCAGCCATCGTGGCATGATGTCCGACTCTGAACCAAACTTCCGAGTTGGTTTTGGAGGTCGCCGAGGCGATCGCGGCGGCCACAAATCTTGGCAAGGTCGTTGTTAAGCGAGTGCCCCAGATGTTCAAGCATCCCCCTCCTAAGACCTGATAGTTGATTAATCCAGGCCAGGACAGACTTGGTCGGGGGGAATGGGCGGCGAGGCCGAATTTCATTATCGCTGGGGAAGGTGCGAATTGAAGTGGCCATACAGTGGCGCTGCCGCGCGATTCCGCCACCGCGCTCGGCCAGGCGCCCAGGGGGGAGGGAGGGCGCCAGGAGGGGATGATCGATTGAACGTCCCTCTCCAAACCTCATATACTTGGGCACGCTTTCTGCCTGGAAGGTCAACGACGCAGGGACGTGGTCATACAAAACAAACGCATCTTGGACTCGATGCGTCGGGGGGGCCCGATCATTGCTTCGCAAGGAGCGACATGGTCCGACACACACACATACCGCTGCAAGCGCGGTGGCAGATCTTCTCATGCTCAATAGAACAAGTATCACGAACGTGTCGCAGGGATATAGGATTCTCACAAGTTCAGTTTCCCTGACTCACGAACGTGTGGCAGGGTTGTGCGATTCTCACCAGGTCAGCTTTTCCCAAGTCAAGAACGTGTGGCAGGGCCATGGGATTCTCATCATTTCAGCTGTTCCAAGACACGAACGTGTGGCAGGCCCATCGGATTCTACGCATTTGAGCTTCCAGGCACAGTGCGAGCGCTAGGCCTCGAACGAGAAACGCCCAGGTGCTGGGGACCGAATGTCTCGAGGCCAGAACTTTGTGTTGGCACTCGTTCTTGCATCCTCTCTGTGTCTGTCTGTACACTTGCAATGTTGTCTCGTGCGCTTGTGTATGTGTCTTGTTTGACCATGGCGGATCTGGCTCAAGGCTTTCTGACTAACAGTGAAAACCAGAAAGTGCAAGGCTTCGCGATTGTCCGCCCGAACCCCGCGTGCCAACACTTTGTAAGTCCAGCCTCGCATCCGTACGCGCGAGTTCCGAGGCCCCCCGAGGAAAACATCCCATGGCTACCTTCGTACATACGAATTGCTGGGATGCGAGATTTATCATCCCCCCGAACCCCGAACTTGATTATCCCCTGGGTGTGGTCATCCGGGGTATTCGGTTAAGGCGCGGCATGCCCCTTCCCAGCCGCCCGCCCCGCTCTGCGATGCAGGCGTGGCTCATCACTTTCAATGTAGCGACAGAGAGTTGTCAATATGTGTCTAATGTGGGCAGCCCTTTTTATTTTTTGGTTCGAGGCCGATTGCCAGCCACGCAACCAGACTGGGCCCCCCCACGGGCGCGAAGATGCTCGCGCCTCGCTCGTCGCGGCCCAGGCTTCTGAAATACTTATGGCGCGATGCGCGAAGGTGGCCGCGCGTCGCGGGGCGCGGGGCGCGATGCGCGAGGTTGCGGTCGGGAACTTTTGGATACCGCGTCGCTCCGTGGGTTCTGGCAAACCATTCCTTGGCGCGAGAAGCTATCCCCTTCCCGGTCCCCCGGTATCAACGTCTGGAGCTTCCCTAAGCCCCCAGCCCCGCGGTGCGGAGCGACACGCTATCCGCTCTCAAGGCATAGAGTGGCGCCAGGGTTGCCGCCGCGACACGCTAAGCAAAAACTCCTGACCGTAGGCGCCCCATCCGGTGGGGGCGTTGGTTAAGAAATGCACCCAGAAGGCTTCAGACCCCAGAGGATTCCATATCTGATGAGGGCGGCGGTGGTTTCCATGGCCAATCCACGGTTCGAGTTCTACTGGCTTCATGACCTTGGATTCCTGACCCAATGGTTCCTTATGTGACCGCGCAAGAAGAAACCGCAGCTGGAAGTTCTGGACGTTTTCTTAAGATTATGTTTTTTGTCTGTTGTTTTTGCGTTGCGGCTGTCGTTGGCGAGTGTTTTTGGTTTGACGCAGTGCTTTCTCGAAAGGTTGCAGCCTGGCCACTTGCAGCGCTTTTCCCGCGGATATTCCGTTCAATGTGCTTTCGCGAGGCCGAGTGGCGATCGCGCGCGGCGGCGCCCGTTGACCACAACCCACGCGCGCGCTGATCAGGGGAGGTCGTAGAAGTAATTATCCCGGCAAAGCAACCTGACAGCGATGTGTAGGAGCATATCTGGAAGCATTCCCCTTGAGATTCAGACGAGAATCCAGTTGTAGAATTCTGCTGTTCTCGCAGTCGTAGTCGCATTCGCGATGACAGTCGCAGTGGCACCAGCAGTCGCCTCAGCCTCAGCCTGCCTCAGCCTGCGTCAGCCTGCCCCAGCCTCAGCCTGCCTCAGCCTGCCTCAGCCTGCCTCAGCCTGCCTCAGCCTCAGCCTGCCTCAACCTACCAGGGCTCGTTTCGATTCCTCCGATTCGATTCGATTCGACTTCGATGGATTCCGATTCCGATTCGATTCGATTTTGGATTCCGATTTGGGCTCCGATTTTCCAATGGAGGCTTCCTAAACTGCCGATTTCCGCCGATTCGACTTTTCCCGATTCGGCTGCCGACTTCCGCCGATCCGATTGATTTCGATCGCCGATCCGACTTATCGATTCGATTCTGGGCCCTCCTGGCCTACAGCTGCCTGAGGCAGGCTGAGGCAGCCTGAGCCTGCCTCAGCCTGCCTCAGCCTCCGACTGCAGAAGCCTCAGCCTCAGCCTGCCTCAGCCTCAGCCTCAGCCTGCCTCAGCCTCAGCCTGCCTCAGCCTCAGCCTCAGCCTGCTTCAGCCTCAGCCTCAATCTGCCTTCAGCCTCGGCCTCAGCCTCAACCTGCCTCAGCCTCACCCTGCATCAGCCTCAGCCTCAGCCTCAGCCTGCCTCAGCATCAGCCTGCCTCAGCCTCAGCCTCAGCCTGCCTCAGCCTCAGCCTCAGCCTGCTTCAGCCTCAGCCTCAGTCTGCCGTCAGCCTCGCCTCAGCCTCAGCCTCAGCCTGCCTCAGCCTCAGCCTCAGCATCAGCCTCAGCCTCAGCCTCAGCCTCAGCCTCAGCATCAGCCTGCCTCAGCCTCAGCCTCAGCCTCAGCCTCAGCCTCAGCCTGCTTCAGCCTCAGCCTCAGTCTGCCTTCAGCCTCGGCCTCAGCCTCAGCCTGCCTCAGCCTCAGCCTGCATCAGCCTCAGCCTCAGCCTCAGCCTGCCTCAGCATCAGCCTGCCTCAGCCTCAGCCTCAGCCTGCCTCAGCCTCAGCCTCAGCCTGCTTCAGCCTCAGCCTCAGTCTGCCTTCAGCCTCGGCCTCAGCCTCAGCCTGCCTCAGCCTCAGCCTGCATCAGCCTCAGCCTCAGCCTCAGCCTGCCCATCAGCCTGCAGCCTCAGCCTCAGCCTCAGCCTCAGCCTCAGCCTGCTTCAGCCTCAGCCTCAGTCTGCCTTCAGCCTCGGCCTCAGCCTCAGCCTGCCTCAGCCTCAGCCTGCAGCCTCAGCCTCAGCCTCAGCCTGCCCTCAGCCTGCCTCAGCCTCAGCCTCAGCCTCAGCCTCAGCCTCAGCCTCAGCCTGCCTCAGCCTCAGCCTCAGCCTCAGCCTCAGCCTCAGCCTCAGCCTCAGCCTCATCAGCCTCAGCCTCAGCCTGGCCTCGGCCTCAGCCTCAGCCTCAGCTGCATCAGCCTCAGCCTCAGCCTGCCTCAGCATCAGCCTGCCTCAGCCTCAGCCTCAGCCTGCCTCAGCCTCAGCCTCAGCCTGCTTCAGCCTCAGCCTCAGTCTGCCTTCAGCCTCGGCCTCAGCCTCAGCCTGCTTCAGCCTCAGCCTGCCTCAGCTTCAGCATCAGCCTGCCTCAGCATTCAAAATGTGGCCCGGGAGTTCTGGGAACTCGAAGAACACGAAGTGGCCTACTGTTTGCTCCGGGCATTCAAAATCATGCCCAGGAATGGAGTTCTGGGAACTCGAAGACCACGAAGTGGCCTACAGTTGGCTCCGGGCATTCAAAATAATGCCCAGGAATGGAGTTCTGGGAACTCGAAGAACACGAAGTGGCCTACAGTTGGCTCCAGGCATTCAAAATCATGCCCAGGAATGGAGTTCTGGGAACTCGAAGACCACGAAGTGCGTTACTGTTGGCTAAAAAAAGAGTCCCCGGCATCCTCCCCCGGATCGCGCCCAGACCCCCTTGTGGCGTCAGGATGCTCTCTTTTGACCCCACTAGAAACCTATCAGTCTTCGCTGTTAGGTAAAAACGCGAAAGAGCGTTTTCTACCGCTGCTGGCGGAAAACCGGGGGGGGGTCACTTGGGGTTCCCAACCCGTCCCCCCCCCCCTTTCGAAAACCGGGGGGTCAGTACCCGTTCGAACCCCCCCTCTCCCCCCACCCCTTTCGTCCATCATGAAAAGGGGGTGGGGTCATTTCCGGTTCGAAACCCTCCCTGTTGCCGCCGGCAAGCGATTCCCGCTCTTCGGGACAGTGGGACACTGGTGGGGACACTGGGACAGTGGTGAGGACGGTGGTGGTGGGGACAGTGGTGCGGGGACAGTGGGACAGTGGTGGGGACAGTGGGACAGTGGTGGGGACGGTAGTGGTGGGGACAGTGGTGAGGGGACAGCGGGACAGTGGTAGTGACAGTGGGGACAGTGGGACAATGGTGGGGACGGTAGTGGTGGGGACAGTGGTGAAGGCGGTAATGAGGACGGTGGTGGGACAGTGGGGTGGGGACAGTGGGGACAGTGGGACAGTGGCGGAGACAGTGGGGACAGTGGGACAGCACAGTGTGACAGCGGCGGGGACAGTGGGGACAGTTGGAAAGTCGTGGGAAAGTGGGGACAATGGGACAGTGGTGGGGACAGTGGGGACAATAGGGAGAGCGGGACCGTTGAGGGACAATGGTGGGGACAGTGGGGACAGTAAGACACTGATGGGGGCACTGGTGGGGACAGCGGGGACAATGGTGGGAAGACTGGGGACACTGGGACAGTGGTGGGAACAGTGGGACAGTGGTGAGGACGGTGGTGGTTGGGACAGTGGTGTGGGGACAGTGGGACAGTGGTGGGGACAGTGGGGCCAGTGGGACAGTGGTGGGGACAGTGGGGCCAGTGGGACAGTAGGTCCACTCCCCAAAGGTTCGGGATCTTTTTATTGCTAATCATCAGAGGGTGGGGAGTCGAGACAGCGGCAGTTTGCCTTCGGGGGGCTCTCTCGTCGCCACGCCTGGGCGCAGCTTGGAAAACATATGCGCTTGGACTCCAGGAGGGGTCGGTTCAGGGACCGATTTTGAGCTGCCGTTGCAAGTCGCCCTGCTGCTCCGAGATATGGGCTAAAACAGCTGTGAGGGTCATAGGACCTGGCCCGCACCACCCCTAAGGTCTGTTTGTCGTCGTCGTCGTCGTCGTCGTCGTCGTCGTCGTCGTCGTCGTCGTCGTCGTCGTCGTCTGCTGGCACGCCCAGGGAGGGTTCTTGCGCCCAAACGACGGCGATGAACCCTCCCCTTGGCGCCAGCAAACGACGACGGGCTTGGGGGGGCTGCCGGGACGGGGGGTTCTGTGAAGGGGGGGTCCAGATCGCCGGTTGCTTGGAATGTTGGGTTGAGTCCCCCGTGTTTTCAACGTGTCGATGAATGTTTGGCACTCGAGCGCCCGCGCAGCGCGCTCTCTCATAGAGAACACGACACCCTGCGCGGGCCCCGAATGCCCCTGATGTTTTCCTTGCGTTGCGAGGCACATGTTACAAGACTCCGGCGTCTTGAACCCCGGACTGGGTTAATCTCGAACATTATGTTAGCGCTTCTTCCTGCGGCCATTCGTAAGGTGTCATGCCTTGTCTGCTCAGCTATGACGGGACAACAAATATGTTAGGATGCAGCTCCTGGGAGGTTAAGCTCAGCATCGTCGTTGGTATGTGTATGGCCCAAAGCCAGCCTAATCCTGGGCTTAATCTGAGCACATCCGTCATACTTGTGTGTGTTTTTATCGGACTCGCTAACCCTTAGTCGTTCTTGCGAAGACTCCCAGTCCGTTGTGCAAGGGTCCATTGCGGTGGTTCCCCAGATGTCGGTTCCCCGTAAGGCGAGCAGGAGAGGCGGATCAAATTGGAGAAGTTGCTGGAGGTGCAGACGGTCCAGGTGAGCAGCGGCCCGGCATTATGAAATTGATAATCCCGGACACGCTCGCGTCGTGAAACAAACATGGCTGGAGGTTTTGCGCTTTTCTGCCTTCAGGAGCCCTCGCCGGGCTCTGGGAGCGTCAACAAACAACTCGGGATGAAAAACCGGTCTTGGGGAAAAGGTCGGGAGTTCTGGGGACCACGCATTGGGGAAACAACAAGATATGGCATGTCTGGGATCTTACGGTGGGTTCGCGCCGCGTTGACGCGGCGGCGACCCCAGTGCGGGTGTTCAGGTTGAGCGCCATCAACAACCAGGAACCTGCCGATGTTGAACGATCTGCGCTGTCAGGAAGCCTCGATCGTTCAAGGTTGAACGATCCACGCGGTGTCAGAATAACCTCCACATCGTCACGACACGAACCTGCCGTAATTAGAAAGTTCCGACGTTGTGCCTCTCATCATTGGGCAGTCTGCGCACTCTTTCTTGGCGCGTCTTGCCGCTCTGGATTGGTGGTCTCAGAAATTCCGATCCTCCGACAGGGGCTGTTCGACTGTGATTTTCTAGCTCGCCGATTTCCTTTTCCTCCGTCGCCCCCGTCTTCTTCTTCGCATTGAGCTAAAGATTCTCTAGGTGATTTCCTGCATACCATTCCTCGGCTCGTTATGGCTTGATTTGGGCTACACTCGGACCGAGGTATAAGATCGAGGTCGGTTCGGGGAGGGTGCCCTTGTTCGAAGAAGGAAAAGCGCCAACAACGTAAACTTTTGGCGCTCCGCGCGGGGGTCCAGTGCAGATCCAAGAAATCTGCGCGGAGCGCCAACATTTATGTTTATGCCGTTTCGTATTAGTATTATTATTCTATTAGTGTTCTTCGTGCTTGTTGGATGTTCTTGTGCATCCTGGGGGTGGGCACCCTCGAATGCTCTTCATATTGGCCTGTGGAGGGTCTCACGTGCCTGAAGGATGTTATTCTGGCCTAGGTCCGACTGTAATTTGGCTGCATTCGGCTCGATCTGGATTATTGTTGGTTTTTCCTGATGTCATTCGTAGCTGATGCCGCCTGGTAATTCCTGATCGCGCTCACGAAGGCCTCCCCAAGAGTTGCCACCTTGCCTGCCACCTTTGCGGCGAAATCCAACCCTGCGCTTGCCGATCAACGATTCAGGCAGCTCGGGTGGGTTCGGAATTGGTCGAAGACGTGGCGAAATCCGAGCCCTACCCTTGCTCGGCGGTGATCCCAGGGGGGAAGTGAGGAAGGGCGGGCCTTCTCAGAAGGCTCGGAAGTCCCCCGGCCTTCTGAGATGTTTTCTAAGCCTTCTCCTAGAATGCAGAAAAGTTCTCAGAAGGCGCGAGGGCTTCTGAGAAGCCCCACCGCCTTCTGAGAAGGCCTTCTCCTTCTCATTCCCCCCTCGCTCGCCGCCGAGTGGGGGTAGGGAGCGGATGTCGCCGCCTAGATCGAAGTCGGGGCGGTCGATCAGGCCTTCTCGCACGCGGCGGTGTGCCCTGGGGCTCCCGAGGGCGCGCGATATCACCCAGCAGCGCCCGCCCAGAACTCCCGCTAGGCTGGGGGGCCTCCTCGAATCGAACCACAAACAGGCGCATAAACATACGTTTTCGGAGCTCCCCGCGGATGTCTCGGATTGGCGCTGGACCCCTTGGCGGGGCCTCCTTGGCGGGGCCTCCAGCGCCGCTCCCGGCGCGCTCTGCGCTCCACTGAGGGGGGTCCAGCGCCGATCCAAGAAGTTTGCTCGGAGCTCCGAAAGTTTTATGGTCATTATTTGCTTCTGCTACCGAAGGGCGCTGCAGCACTGTAGGTTGGGTGTTCTGAGGGACGTGTGGGCAGACCACTCGAGTACTTGCGGCCCGGTGGCGGATTTTCCCGCATTCGTGGCGGTTTGAGGGCACTCTCCATTCCTCCTGGCCTGGGGTATAGAGAGGGAGAGAGAGAGAGAGAACAACGAAACGAGCTTATCATTATATGAGCGGTTGTGTGTTCGATACTGTGCAGTTGACCTTTGGGCGAGAGCTCAGCATATGTGCAAAGCCTTTGCTGAAGCATGCGGCCGCGCAGTGCATGTCTCTTTGTGACAGGGGAACATGCGTTCTTTGGCACAGCGCAGTTGTGGGCGACGACTCGTAGTTGTGTGTATGTGCGTGCCAGCGCCAGTAGTGATGTACTGGTATCTCATGTCTGAAGCGTGTGCAGGTGGACTTGCAGAAAGAGCTGCGGGTCAAGACCGAAAGCTTGCTGCAGGTGGGGTTTTTCGGATTATTGTAGATGGAGGCCATTGGATCGGTAGGAGGACGAGGTCGGCGAGCGTGACCTGGGAGTCCACCCTTCTCGTCCTCCCCTTCATTTTCCTCCCTCCTCGTCTTCCTTCGCCATCTCCTCCTCTTCCTCCTCCACCTGAGCTAGTAATCCTTGTCAGCGTCGTCTTTCTCTGCTTCCTCGTCGTTTTTCTCATTCCTCCTCATCCTTCTCCTCCTCGTCATCTTCTTCCGCTTCCTCCTTCGTCTCCTCCTTCGTCCTCCTCTTTCTCCTTTTTTCTCTAACTTCTTCTTCCCACCTCCTCCTCTTCCCTCTTTGCCTCCTCCCTTAACCGTGCGTGGGAATGATGGACGATGCGGATGACGACGATGATGATCATGGTGATAGCGACGACGGCGGTGAGGATGGCGGCGATAACGATCGTGAAGACGACGATGCCGATGTCGATTGCGATGATTGTGAGGAGGGAGAGGAGGGCGGATGAAGGAGGCAGATGAAGTAGGATTAGGAGGGCGGGATCATGCTGACTGATTCTTTCTATAATATATATATATATATATGCACACACATGTTGCTGATCTTGATACTGCAGCTAATGCGGAGGATGATGAGGACGTAGAGGAGGAGGAGAAGGAGAAGGAGGACGGACGATGCGCAGGAGGAAGATGAGGAGGAGGAGGAGGATTGAGGTTGATGAGGATGAGGATCATCAGCAGGAGGGAGGAACATGATGCTGATGATGATGTTGGTGATGATGATGAGGAGGATCATGATGCTGATAATGATGATGCTGATGATGAGGATGGTGAGGATGGTTCAGATGATAATGCTGATGCTGATGATGATGCTGCTGATGATGCTGCTGATGATGCTGATGCTGATGCTGCTGATGATGATGATGCTGCCTGCTGATGATGATGATGATGATGATGATGATGATGATGATGATGATGATGATGATGATGATGATGATGATGACGCGGAGGAGGAGAAGGAGGAGGATGAGGAGGAGGAGGAGGATAAGGAGGAGGATAAGGAGGTGGAGGGATCATGCTGATGCTGCTGATGATCATGAGGATGAGGAGTAGGGAGGGGGATGTGGCGGGTGAGGACAAGGAACAGGATGATGTTGCCCAGGCTGATGCGGAGGAGGTGGCGGAGGAGGAAGGAGCACGACGAGGAGCAGAAGAAGGATGGATGAGCATGGGCGGGCTTGTCGTGGAGACCCACCACGCGCGCCCTCATCCTGGAAGCTTCGAACGCGGGAGGCAGGAGGAAAGAAGAACGTCTAGCTATTTGCTAGACCGCCTCGCAGTCGCGCATGCTGCGCGCCTCACGGCCTGGCGCACCGGGGAACCCCCGACTCTCAATCTAGACAGGGAGCCTTGGCCAGGTCTGCCTTCTTGCACGTCTCTGCCACCTTGCAGATCAGGATCGTCTCTGCGATACTGATGGGTCCGTGCTTCGTCTCCACTGCCTCCATGTAGTGGTGAAGCACGTCCTTCGCTTCTAGCACGGCGGCGTCCGGGTCGACGATGTCCTCCAATACTTTCAGCAGCGCTCGCATGAGGCTGAGGCAAAGGTGGATGTGAGGCGGCCCTAGCCCGTGTCCCTTGCCCTTCGCACTGACTGCCGCCGCGTACGCTTTGCCTTCCTCCATCATGTCTTTGAGCGGTTTGCAGATGATCGGGATTAGCCAGACGAGCGTTGTGAGGTGAGACATATCCTTCGTATCCTGGCTGGTCCTCAGCGCGATCTTGTGGAGGGCCGCGGGTTGGCCTGCGAAACCGAGAGCGCCCCTGGAGCTGCCTGGTCCTCCTCCTCCGCCTCCTCCTACAGAATGCCCGCGCCTTCTGCTGTTTGGTCTGGACACAGACGACAACGACCGTCTTGGCAAGGTGAAAGTGGCCATCAACCCATTGCCGAACGTGGAGATCTACCCCAGGGGCACGGACTGCGGGTAGGCAACGATCAAGTGCTTGAGGAGCCTTTCACCAACGAGTATCACGGGGGCGGTGGTGCAAGCTCTCCTGCACAGCAAGGGCACAAAGTCGAACAGCTGCGGGCCGAAGGCGGAGCTGGAGCGCACATGCGAGAATAATGTGAAGCAGCTCTAGCGCCGCTGGGAGCGTCCAGCTCCCAGATGCCAGTTCACGAGTTGCCAGCATATGCATCTGAAGCTGACACGCAGACTCCTGCCCAGGAGACGGCCCTGGAGATCAACTGGGAGGGGTCAGGCCCCCCGTCAGCCTTCCCCCCCAAGACAGACGAAGAGGAACAGGCTGAGGAAAGAAGCAAGGACCCCATAGAGGCTCCCCAAATTGAGAGCGATGGCAGACAGACGCAGCAACATGAAACAACTGCATGCGTACGCTATGTACTACAGATCCAGGGGGCAAGCGATACAGGCCGCCCTGCCAGACAGCATGGGACGGGGTGGCTTGGTGCGGTGCTTATTGGATTGGTGCGAGCGGGAGACAGCACGGACTACATTACTATCTGTGCACCAACTTGGGACCCGACCTGCTTAGGAGGCCTCAGAGGGTACACGATTACATCGACACTGTATTCGGAAGGGCCACAGTGCCACAAGAGGCATATGGGCTCCAACGGGGTTACACATGCACATGCACTGGGCCGTACTACTTCCCAAAGGATATGCGACAGGTACCCCCGGCGACACTAAAACCACGCGCGAGGAGAATGCTGGGCATGCAGGAGACCTGTGCGCATATGAAAGGAGTAGGACAGTCGGACGTTCGGTCGCGAGTGTACGCAGCTACATGTTAGCGAGAACGGAGCCCATTATCGAAGGCAACAATGCAACGGTGCGCATTTCATTTCTGTCGTTTACATGCAAAACATGAAGCCTTCAGGGGAGGAGGGCGGCGCTCCAGCAGGCTGCGCAGAACCCTATGCAGTACACATGTGTGTCCATATCACGCTTGAGGCGCAGAGTCTTTGAAAGTTTGGCGAACCAGACCCATCTTCTGGACGCTGCACTCATTAGGCTGAGCGGCATCATTGAGTTGCTGGTAGGCAGAGTCGATGCGACGAGGGGACCGAGGGAGGTTGCAGCAGACGGCGTTGCGTTGGAAGTGGAGCTGAACAGCGGGACAGTATGAGAGCTCGCATGCGCCTGCAAGAGGAAGAGAGGGAAGCGAGCAGAACTGGACAGGAGTGACAAAGGCAGTAGAGTGCGCTCGCCATGTACAGGCATGACGCAGAACGAATCGGGACAGCTCCCGACGCCCGCGCACCGTGCGGACTTGCGCCGATCTCGTCTGTTCCCGAGCGCAGCAGCCCCATCGGCAGCGCGTTTGATGGAGGGAGAATCTGTGCTGCCGAAACAAGGGAAGGGAGTGGGGGCACTAATGCCACCGTTTCGCGACTGCACGCCCCATGCACGATAGGGTGCATTGCGAATTGCGGGAACTACGTGGTCACCATGATACGGCGCTACGATTTGGAATTACGCATGTGAGGAACCACGCAGGACGGTGCGTACAATAAGGGGGATTGGGACTGTTCCAGGGAGGGCCCCAAGTAGGATTCTGCAGGCTCGGGGGCCCAAGTGGCAGTTACGGCAACACAAATGGGTGGGATGAGGAAGAAACGTACAACAGTACGTACAACATAACCAACATATACGTGTGCAGCATGCGAGTGTAGGCTCGAGCTGACTGCACCCTGTTCGGGTGGATTAGCCAGAGGCCTACACAATCGACCCGCCTCAGCGCCAGAGGCGACAACCATGGTGATGTCCACTGTCGCAGAGGGAGCTACTCTCACCAGCCGGGAAACTACGATAGCGCTTGAAGCGGGGTCTTGCCAGTATGTGATGGCGCAGGCAGAGGCGAACATGCAGTGCGCGACCAACTTGATGGAAACGATGAAAAGCGCGATCATGGCGGGCATCAAGAGCGCGGAGGGTCTACAAGACATCCTCGGAATGAGTAGGGTGCGCGCAGAGCTCGGCGAAGAATTCGCGCCCGGGCCGTCCCTCGCCAAGTGCGCAGCCCCTCAGAAGTTGAGTGAACAGATTCGCCGCGCGGAGCAGGGCGCCCTGAAGATGCGCGAGGTGGAGGCGAGGGTGGAAATGGGCAAGGAAACGGCGGCGTCTCTTCCAAGTCTGAAGAACTGCGCGGAGCCGCAGATCGACGAGCTCGCGCCGCCGAAGACGGTCGCGGGGCGCGAGACCGACCAGGGCGCGGATAACGCGAGGCCGCAGTGGGAGAAGGGCAACCCGAGCACGCGGATGCACTGCGGTTGGGCACTGAATGATCCCAGCACGTGGTCCGACTACGGGCCAATCAGCGAGACGGCCGACAGCGGCGCGAAGCAGCCCGACGCTGCGCAGGGGGAGGCGGCCCCCGCCACGGGCGAGAGCGAGAACAGGAGCAGCGAGGATGGCGTCGGCACGGGGGTGAGCGAGCGAGGCGGCAGCTGAAATATGGGCGTCTCAGCGCGCGCGCGAAGATAAGAAGTTTTTTGTTTCCCTCCGCAGCGCGCGAGCAGAGGGCCCGGCCTGACTTCGTTAATGCGCCGCCTCTTCGCGCGGGCGGTTGCGCGCCAAAGCGCTGCCAGTGCCACTGCGACTGTTGGGCATCATGGGGGCCGCGCCGCGCCGAGGCGCTCCGACGCGACGCGAGTTCCAGGGCCAGGAGCGACAAGCGCCGCGCCGGCGCAGCTCCCAGGCACCCAGGACCAGCGGCGGGGCGGAAGGGGTGGTGGTGGGACGGGGGCGGAGACGCGGAGCGCGCGCCCGCGCCCGCCGCGGCGCCCGCGCCCGCCGCGGGGCGCCGCCCTCGCGAGGCCCCGCCCCCCGCCACCGCCGCGGCCCTTCCCGCCCGCATTCTCCCCCGTTGTCGCCCGCGTCGCGTCTCCCCCGGGGGTTGTCCTCGCCCGCCCAGCGGGCCAGTGCCTTCTCTCGTCTGGCCGCGGCGGCCGCGGGCCCGCCCCGGCCGGGAAGGGGCGCCCGCGCC